TTAATTCTTTTAATCATAATGATTATAATTAATAAACTTGCGTGGGAAGTTCTCATCACCTGTTGTTGTGTTATGCCTGAGGTTTACCGATCTATTATTTTGTTCGTTTATTTGTTTAAGGCAGCATATTCCAGCTATATGATGGCGGTCTGTAAATAATCGAGTATGGACCAGACAATCTAGTGGTTGACATCATGAGCATCCATCTACACATCTGGGATACGAAAACATGCATAAGCCAAGTCAGCAAGCTTGACCACCGATCCCGTTAGATGCCCCTTACGACAAGCATAGTCGCCCCTTACGACAAGCATGGCTTACTGGAGATAAATTCTAAACCGGATGTTTATTGGGGTTCTTTCATCTAAGAATTGTCTTCAATATTATTTTTGTCGTTTATGGAGGAATAAATGCGAATACCGAAGTGCACACTGTGTGAAGTACACTAAGTTTGCACACCGTTTTTACACAAACACAAATAAATAATTTATTTATAATATATCAACATGACACGGCCACACTATTATAAACCTATGAGAAAGGATTAGTCCACTAGAAAGCGCGGCGTTATTTGTACTAGGCTCATGGACCACATACATAAATGCAAAAGAATTGCTTGGTTAGCCGATAAATTGCCATGAAATCACTTATAACTAAATTACTAGTGAATATTTCCGTGAAGATCCGGGTTAGAATAGCTCTTTATCAACCCATGCTTGTCTTAAGAGGCGACTACGCTTGTCGACTAACGGGATCTGATATGGTTGATGCCTGTCGTATCCAAATTGCGTAGATCGATGGTCATGATGTCACTCACTGGATAGTCTGGATTCGATTATTTACATACCGTCGTCATCTAGCTGGAATATTGCTGAGTGCGGCGTTAAACAACAAACCAAACAAATAAAACTAGTAAATACGTTTATGCGGAGGGGAATTCTCCCAAATCCATAATAAATCATGAAGTTTAGGATACTGTTCCGAAGTCCCGATGTCATTTTGTGTAATTTAAGATGTAATTTCTCAATTTGCACCCCCCATATTCACAGCTATACAGGAATATGGGCGTTACTATTACACCGCAGCTGAAAACAAACAGTCAAGGGGACTGCTTATCTACTTGGTTGGTTTGTGTGGCAGTGGCGGACACACTGGGCTTAACAATATCTGCCTACTGTTTGCTCGCACTCAATAATCTTCGTTTCGTGTGGAGTTTAAATTATAATCACCAACGAGAGAGAGAGAGAGAGAGAGAGAGAGAGAGAGAGAGAGAGAGAGAGAAAGAGAGAGAAAGAGAGGCAGGGGACACCAGAAATGGGCTTCACAAATTTTACCCATGTCGGGAATCGAACCCGGTTCTTCGGCGTGACGAGCGAACGCTTTAACCACTAGGCTACCCGACCGCCCTCTTTTAACAAAGAGGCTACCCGACTGAGCAGGTGTTTATGAATCACTATCGTATAGTGTTGATACCAGGTGATCGCGAAAAGGTGAGCCCATCCTGCCCCATCGGTGGCACCCGCCACAAACACATGCAAAGGCAAGCCAGTTGTTGACCTGAAAACACCCCGGGAACATATGGTATAAGTCAACCTTGATCAAACAACTTTTGAATAAACTATGCTCGGGACGGGCATCTTCAGTCGCCAACAGCAGAAGAATACCTATCCGGTATCTATGCCGTAGATAGCAACGCTACTTATTTTCACAAGAAATTACCTCACCGTGTCTCTTAAATCAGTCCAATTACGACACCGTTTCCAAAATACTTCAAACACTGGGAAAGTGATAAGACCCATTCTGAGTCACGGGGCTCGCAAAACCTTGATCAGGAGTCGATCATCGGGGTACATGGTGTACACTTGACACGACTCTATCAGTGATGTTACATAATATGTAGTACCAGCACGGCTGAAACTCGGCTTAAACAAGTACACTTAACAAATACGCATTTCCCGTCTGTCAGAGACGGTGTTATGTCAAATATAAATTTTAATGAGTTTCACGACTGGTGCGGTGAGGTGAAATTGGGTTTAACGTCGCGTCCAAGATTATTGCACTTATAGCTTATAGCGACGTGCATGTACGTGTGTGTGTGTGTGTGTGTGTGTGTGTGGCTGTGTGGACTGATGCCGATTTATAGTGCTAGCCCACTGAGATACCATGCCGCAGTTTAACATGAATACCCCACTCAGACACAGTATACTGACTCCGAGCCGACCAGTCCTTGTTTTAGCCCCATAATGCCGAGCGCCAGACAGGGTAACAACAAGAACCATCTTTTAACGTCTTTTGGTATGACGCGACCGGGGATCGAACCCCGAACCTTCCGCTCTCCCGGCGGACGCTCTACCACTAGACCACGGAGGCGGTCGTTTCACGAGTGGAGAGTATTTACATGGAAACAAATTACATCGGTTGTCCCCACTTGTGATACCGGTAATTTCTTTTATCGAAGCTGTAGAGTGTTTACGTTCGAACTAATGATGTTTGATGTCAAGTTCGCATGGCGTGTGCACATTTTATTAAGGTCATGCAGATTATCTAAGCGGAAAAAAGTATTTACACTGTGATCAAATTACGTTTGATGTCGCTAATACGAAGATTTCAGGACTTACCATGACAGGCCCACTTGCACAAAGCGATCTTTGCGCTACGATGATCGTAACCGCCGTACTTTAACATAGACTTAAGATAGTCGTAGCGCTAAGATCGCTTTGTGCAAGCGGGCCCTTGTCACGACAGGATAACATTTTGAGATCTTTCACCGACCAATGAAATTACAAACAGGAAGTCTAGATTAACCGCTCCGAAAGTAGCTTTACCGTCCTAGTTTCAAAACGGCAACCTCCATTTCAGACTAGCTTTGAAAAAAATATTTTGACTTAGTTCTGGATTCAAAATTTAAAAACGAAACAAAAGACAATTCTGATGTCCAATGTATGGCCGAAATTGTATGGCATGGATATGGAAAGACAACTCCGTTTCAAATGTGTTTTAACCATACGGGCGAGAGAAAACGATGTTGACGGAATCTGTCATACAGCCAGTAGCTGTCGTCCTGAATGACCCGTGTTAATGTTTTCGAGTTTGCATAATCAGATAAGTTTCACTTTCACGACCTCGTAGGCGACGCTCTGATTGGTCGGATGAAAGGCCGTTCTGACGAGACCTGGGAAGGGATGTCCTCGGATCCTTGTGTAGCAGTGGGGACGATTAAAATCTGATTTTGAGGGGATTGTCTTTTTCAACACGTGCACTGATGAACATGTTCAATATATGGATTATTATATAGGACAAAGCAGCCCGACACACAGATTGGATAATACATAATGTTGATGCATGATAAACTACTCATCGGCGTTATGATGGCCAGGGGGATAAGAGTGGATGAGGAGTGAGTGAGTGAGTGAGTTGGGATTAACGTCCCTTTTAACATTATTCCAGTTATATCACGGCGTGTCAGCTTAATGTGGGAGGAAAGCCAGAAGTGATGCAGACGTTTACCACTTCGGTGGAACCCACGAGCACGGGTATGGTGCTGACGAACCTAGAAACATAATCGGGGCGAACCGGGATTCGAACCCACAAACATAGGGTCCTGGCGTGTCCAAGGACGCAACTCTGCACAGCGAATCGCGGCGCCTTAGACGACTGGTTCTCCCGTGCCATTAGACTGGACGCCATTGTTACATTGTTACATAAGTTAAGCACCGCCCCTTTTTTGTATATATTCCACGATTTCCGCGTATTCTTTGGAGATATCTGTATATGACAATATGACTTCATTTTAATTCATATCTAACATGCGTTGGTGCCATACCTTACAGCCTTCGAATTTGAGAAACTGGAGACGAGTGTAGCCTAGCGATGAATCACGATTACGTCTTCACCGGCGAGATGGAAGACAACGTGTTTATCGTCGTCGAAATGAGCGTTTGCCCCACATTGTGAACGTGAATTCGACAAATCGAGCAGTTTCAACAGTACAACGCTCCACCGCACACAGCTCGTGTAACGGTAGACTACCTACCTAATGCCAACATCAACGTCTTGCCCTGGCCGTCAGATCTCCAGATCTCAACCCAATCGAACACCTCTGGGATGAACTCGATCGACGTGTACGTCAACGTCAGAACACGCCGCAGCGCTCCCACAACTGGCCAACGCGTTACAAGCAGAATGGCGAATAATTCCGCTGGACAGAATTCGTACACTTATCAAGTCAGTGCCGAGGATATGCAGAGCCGTGATTGCTGCCCGGAACGATCACACGAGATACTGAGTTCAGCGCTACCTTGCGGCTTTATGTGACATGACAATGAACAGTTTTCAATGCCTTTGTACAACATGTGACTATCGAGCTCTTTATTAGGTACAATACATTTACTAAACATCTACCTGTGGATTTCTTTTTTTGAAGAGTGTAGTCGTACAATGCGTTTAGCAGAGATGTCTCATGATTATGGAGGGGGCACGGGTGGCCCAGTCGTCTAAGGCGCCGCGATTCGCTGTGCACAGTTGCGTCCCTTGGGCACGTCAGAATCCTATGATTGTGGGTTCGAATCCCGGTTCACCCCGACTATGTTTCTAGGTTTGTCAACACCATGCCCGTGCTCGTGGGTTTCACCAAAGTGGTAAACGTCTGAGACCTGCATCACTTCGGGCTTTCCTCCCACATTAAGCTGACACGCCGTGATATAACTAGAATACTGTTAAAAGCGGTGTTAAACCCAACTCACTCACTCACATGATTATGGAAAGGGTTTTATTTGCATACGCCCTGAACTACAAATATAATGTTCCGAGCTTCAATCCATTACTCTATAATCTAACAGGAAGATCGCCTGTCAACGAAGGTCATATCTATAAATGATTGAGTGTTGACATGAAATTTACCCTTGATAAACGTCTGAGAAGGTTTTGGTCATCAGTGACGAATACTTGTAGATACAAGACACCCAACTAGCGGGTAGCATCATCTTGATGCTTGGCACTGATGTCATGAACACGTGATTCAGAGACACCAAGATACAATTCCTCTGTTGCCAAGCGATGAGGTCAGTACTGCGTGATTCAGTTTGTACTGGTCAGACGTGGCCTGATAGCACATTTGTGACGAGTCAAGGCATCTGGGAACACCATCAACCGTAAGTTTCTATTTTTCAGTCATAATCATGTTTCATCTGAATGATGTTCACCTGTTTGAAAATTATATATGTAAAAATACGTATCAGTTTGAATAACATTGCACGGGTTCTTCTTGTAGCATTTAGTTTGGAATGTTTATTGTGAACGTTAAGATATTAGAAAGTCATCAACATATAAAACGTCCACGCCAGAGAATAACCTGAATTGATTAGCATAATTGAAACATATTCCATTGGCCGTAAAATGCGAAATAGAGGTGAAAATTATATGAAAATGAATCGCTGAAGAGAAGAGGGTCAGTATTACCTGATTGGGCCTGATAATGGTGCGAGTGGGTTAGCTGTAATGCGCTGAAAGTGCCTTCCGCTATGAAGCGCAATGAAAGGGTTTCCGCCATATTGGGTATCGAATCCAAAAGCTACCTCCTCTAGCTACACACTCCTGTAGCTACACACCCCTGTAGCTTCACACTCCTGTAGCTACACACCCCTGTAGTTTCACACTCCTGTAACTACACACCCCTGTATCTACACACTCCTGTAGCTACTCACCCGTGTAGCTACACACCCCTGTAGCTACACACTCCTGTAGCTACACACCCCTGTAGCTACACACCCCTGTAGCTACACACTCCTGTAGCTACACACCCCTGTAGCTACACACCCTTGTAGCTACACACTCCTGTAGGTACTCGCTCCTGTAGGTACTCGCTCCTCTAGCTACACACCCCTGTAGCTTCACCCTCCTGTAGGTACACACTCCTGTAGCTACACACCCCTGTAGCTACACGCTCCTGTAGCTACATACCCCTGTAGCTACACACCCCTGTAGCTACACCCCCCTGTAGGTACTCGCTCCTGTAGCTACACACCCCTGTAGCTACACACTCCTGTAGGTACTCGCTCCTGTAGATACTCGCTCCTCTAGCTACACACCCCTGTAGCTACACCCCCCTGTAGGTACACACCCCTGTAGCTACACACTCCTGTAGCTACACACCCCTGTAGCTACACACTCATGTAGGTACTCGCTCCTCTAGCTACACACCCCTGTAGCTAAACCCTCCTGTAGCTACACACCCCTGTAGCTACACACTCCTGTAGTTACACACCCCTGTAGCTACACACTCCTGTAGGTACTCGCTCCTGTAGGTACTCGCTCCTCTAGCTACATACCCCTGTAGCTACACACCCCTGTAGCTACACACTCCTGTAGGTACACACTCCTGTAGCTACACCCTCCTGTAGCTACATACCCCTGTAGGTACACACTCCTGTAGGTACACCCTCCTGTAGCTACATACCCCTGTAGGTACACACTCCTGTAGGGACACCTTCCTGTAGCTACATACCCCTGTAGGTACACGCTCCTGTAGCTACACCCTCCTGTAGCTACATACCCCTGTAGGTACACCCTCCTGTAGGTACACCCTCCTGTAGCTTCATACCCCTGTAGGTACACACTCCTGAAGCTACACACCCCTGTAGGTACACGCTCCTGTAGGTACACACTCCTGTAGGTACACACTCCTGTAGGTACACACTGCAAAACTTCCCGGTCCTGTAGCTACACACTCCTGTAGCTACATACTCCTGTAGCTACATACTCCTGTAGCTACATACCCCTGTAGGTACACACTCCTGTAGCTACACACCCATGTAGGTACAGGCTCCTGTAGGTACACCCTCCTGTAGCTACATACCCCTGTAGGTACACCCTCCTGTAGCTACACACCCCTGTAGGTACACACTCCTGTAGCTACATCCTCCTGTAGGTACACACTCCTGTAGCTACACACCCCTGTAGGTACACACTCCTGTAGCTACATAACCCTGTAGGTACACACTCCTGTAGCTACATACCCCTGTAGGTACACACATCATGTAGCTACACACCCCTGTAGGTACACACTCCTGTAGCTACATCCTCCTGTAGGTACACACTCCTGTAGCTACACACCCCTGTAGGTACACACTCCTGTAGCTACATAACCCTGTAGGTACACACTCCTGTAGCTACATACCCCTGTAGGTACACACATCATGTAGCTACACACCCCTGTAGGTACACACTCCTGTAGCTACATCCTCCTGTAGCTACACCCTCCTGTATGTACACACTGCAAAACTACCCGCTCCTGTAGCTACTCACTCCTGTAGCTACACACTCCTGTAGCTACACACTCCTGTAGCTACACACCCCTGTAGGTACACACCCCTGTAGGTACACACTCCTGTAGCTACACCCTCCTGTAGCTACATACCCCTGTAGCTACACCCTCCTGTAGCTACATACCCCTGTAGGTACACCCTCCTGTAGCTACATACCCCTGTAGCTACACACTCCTGTAGGTACACCCTCCTGTAGCTACATACCCCTGTAGGTACACACTCCTGTAGCTACACACCCCTGTAGGTACACACCCCTGTAGGTACACACTCCTGTAGCTACACCCTCCTGTAGCTACATACCCCTGTAGCTACACCCTCCTGTAGCTACATACCCCTGTAGGTACACGCTCCTGTAGGTACACACTGCAAAACTACCCGCTCCTGTAGCTACTCACTCCTGTAGCTACACACTCCTGTAGGTACACACTCCTGTAGCTACATCCTCCTGTAGGTACACACTCCTGTAGCTACACACCCCTGTAGGTACACACTCCTGTAGCTACATACCCCTGTAGGTACACACTCCTGTAGCTACATACCCCTGGAGGTACACACATCATGTAGCTACACACCCCTGTAGGTACACACTCCTGTAGCTACATCCTCCTGTAGCTACACCCTCCTGTATGTACACACTGCAAAACTACCCGCTCCTGTAGCTACTCACTCCTGTAGCTACACCCTCCTGTAGCTACACACTCCTGTAGCTACACACTCCTGTAGCTACATACTCCTGTAGGTATACACTACAAAACTACCCGCTCCTGTAGCTACACACTCCTGTAGCTACTATAGCCATTGTTTTTACCTAACTCTTACATATGGAAATATCTGAATTAGTCACAGCGTAGTGCACACTTCGTGCATGACTATCTAAAACCATGACTGTCTCTAATATTGAATATATTAGTTATAGAAATAATCATGCTAATGCGTTCCATCTGTAATACTATTTGTTCCGACCCGGGTTCCATACATGACTAGCTCCATACATGACTACTTATAGTATCTAATATTGAATATGGTAATTATGATAACAATATTTACTTATATTCTGTTCCTAATGTCATTAAGAATTACAATAACAACTCTAATATTGAATATTTTCACTATGAAAACAATTCCCTGTTAATCTTGTTTTGAATCTGTGATACTAACGCTTGATCCCAATTGCATTTAGAATTGGAATAATTCTGTCATACTTAATGAAATGGATTACAGTTGTCAATAGCACTACGACGCCATGAGAATTGCCCCGTCCTAGTGTTATAATGTGTATCGTATTTGCCTTCCGTATGCCGACTATAGTGGGCGCTGCTTTTAACAGTTATATCACGGCGTGTCTCCTTAATGTGGAAGGACAGCACTGAGTGATGCAGGTCTCAGACGTTTACCACTTGTGTTAAACCCACGAACATGGGTATGGTGCTGACAAACCTAGAAACATAATCAGGAAAAACCGGGATTTGAACCCACAATCATAGGTTTCTTGCGTACCCAAGGGACGTAATTCTGCACAGCGAATCACGGTGCCTTAGACATAGTTGGGACGAACCGGCATTCGAACCCACAATCACAGGATTCTGGTGTGCCCAAGGGACGCGACTCTGCATAGAGAACTGCGGTGCCTTAGACGACTAGGCCACCCGTGCCCCTTCATACCGACTATAACTGTTTGAGACATATTCAAGCAACGGCTAATTACACTAAACACACTATAAAACGATTATATCACGATGGCATACGTGTTTTCGGAATTTTGAAATTTTGAAATGCGATTTGTAGCGCCTTGATAAGAACAGGGCCCACTTGCACAAAGCGACCTTAGCGCTAAGATGATCGTAACTCCCATACTTTAACATAGGCTTACAATAGTCTTAGCGCTAAGATCGCTTTGTGCAAGTGGGCCCAGGTCCCCAGCACTCTATTGCTTCACACGTGACTCAGTGGATAGCCTGGTCGGGATGGTATTGCATGTTGTCCCGTGAAGATTCCGGGTTAGAATTGGTCTTCAGCAACCCATGCTTGTCGTACGAGGCGACTAACGACATCTAGTGATAAGGCTCGCTGACTTGGTTGATGCATGTCATGCGATCTATTACTGGATTGTCTGGTCCAGACTCGATTATTTACAGACCGCCGTCATATAGCTGAAATATTGCTGAGTACGGGGGAAAACAACAAACAAACAAATCATTGCATGTTATTGACGGCGTGGGACCCTCCTTATGATATTCATCAAGAAAACAACAAACAAACAAACAAACAAAGTATCTCATCACATTTCTCGGTCTGTGGAGTCTACCGAAGGAAAGCCAACAAACTGCCTGGCAAAAGAAAGTACACAGCCATCTTTGATGGTGGATAAAATGAAACAAAAACGTAATGGTTATCGATGGTGATGTCTGATTCGTTATCATTGTTGTATTTTGGACCTTAAGGTCCACTATTCAGCAACTGTTATTTTAGCCTACTAACGTTTTTCATAACGTTTGTAATTTTGGGTCAAATCCAATTTTCAAGTGTATATACTTTCTTTTGCCAGGAAGTATATTTTAAAATGATATATAGCCAAATGACTTAACACTGCCGATACCGCGTTTAATATCTATTTTCTTAAATGAATGTGAGATTTTCTTGCTAAACTTTGCCCAACCTATGGAACAACAGATCAACATTATCCACTTTCTGTACCCTTGAGGACTGCACCCAGTGTGTTGTTTAACTATTCAAGTTCTACTTAAACATGCATTAACCTCTTACCTACACCTCGCTTAGCACCGTAAGGGTTAACCACTTTGCTGAGCGCTGGGAATTCAGCCTGACAC